GACTAAGTCAATAAGTTAGACAAATTTAAAGGACTAAAAGTTTTCTTATCTCTCACATTTAATTAGTAAATTAATTATAGCCATATGAGAGATTTTGCCTGTGGTTTTTTACAAACCGCTACTAGAGCAGTGGGTTCACCACAATAGTTTTTGATTGCGGTCGGTCAAATTCTAATTGCTTAGTATGGTGGAGTGCATAATAATAATTTTTATTTATTTTCAAAATAGAAGTTAAATTATACTATCTTAAAATGTTAAATGAAAAATGGATCGATGGAAGTAGAAAAAAGCTAAAGCCACTTTCCCTCATGGGCTTTTTTCAATATTTTTCCCGAACTATGTTCATAGCATTTTTTATATATTCTATAATATTACATTATATTATCTTGACCTAGATTTGAATTATTTAAGTAACTCTAAAATTAATTTTACGAATTCTTGTCCATCTTAGCCCATTGAATTTTAAATATTAATCCTAGTATTATGAACGCATTTATCTTATGCTTAAAGCAATGAAAACTGACGTGTTCATATGTATATATAAAACAATATAAGCTCCGAAAATTAAGCAATTAATTAGTGGCTTAATTTGAGGATTAATTTTGGCCGGATAGGATGTTTACAAGACACACAATTGCGTGCATCGCGTTACGGAAACATTTTTCTTTCAAAAAAAATAAAAAAGCCGGGATATCAAAACCACATTTCATTAAACAACAAAGTTCGATTTGACTCCAAAAAAATACGTTCACATGTATGTTATAGAGGAACATACCTGTGGGTTATATTTAAGCAGATGAACGGAGTTACATGAATTCAGTTCTTGGTTCACAGTAAATACGCAGAGATGAAGGAGTTTCATGCACCCCATATGCTTTTCCACTCCCATGCGTGTGGCATAGTTCCGAACCTGCATGATGATAACTATTCCCTCCCAAGATTCAAAATCAAGTGACGAAATATTACATTCAAGAGGCCTAACTTTATAGCACATAATGACGCGGACTTTCTCAATATTTTCATAAGGCCATATGCTTTAACGTGGGCTTATTTCTAAACTTGATCTACTATTAGTGAATAATCCAACACAAGCATATAAAGGATGCATGTATTCTTAAAGTGTGGTAATCATTTTATGAGATGCAACTATTTAATAATACTATAGGGTCAAATTTAAATGACGGAGATTCTCATTAAAGGGCATCAAAACTAATATATTCACAGAGAGAGTCCAATATAATATGAAATTATTCTACAAGCTCAAGGGTCTTAATTGCAATTAACAGCTTCTTAGTGAAATGACACAAATGCATCTGAATCTTTTTTTAGTGCCGGTTGCCAGAGATCCGTCACTGCCGGGGAGGCTTCCACCACTGGTGGCCAGACCGCTACCGCTAGCAACTAAAACTTCAATAGTTAAACATGGTCAAATGTGCTAGGGGACATTTGAACCCTTGATCCCTTGATTGTTTAAAAAGCCTATCATCAGTGAACCACCAACAACCCTTAGTTAATATACATTACAAAATATATTATAACTTGTTTTCAAGTATCTATATGAGTGGTTGTTAATTATGAATGTATTATTGTTCATATCTCAACAATAACTTAAAACTCAACTTATTCAATTTTTTTAATAACTTATTTATTTAATATTGACAAGTTATTAATATTATGCTAAATAAAACAAATATATTATAAATTTATTTTTTCATACATTTCCATGGCTTCATTGTTAGTATTCATGTCTAAATAATTATTTGTAAATATTCAAACATAAATTGTTTATACATAAAAAAAAGTTATGACAAGTTGTACATTGAACAAGTTGGATTTTTAAAAGTTTACAACTTTTTTATGTATATTTACAAGTAATTGTTCGGATACGAACAACAATGGATTCATGATTAAATAAAGCTGATGAAAATGTTTGAACAAGTTGTTAAAAAATATTGATAAAAGGAATAAATTGTTAAAAAATTTGAACAAGTTGAGTTTTAAAAATTGATAACTTTTTTTTTATATATGAATAAGTCATGTTTCAATATTTACAAGTGATTATTTGAATATGAACAAAAATATATCTATAATTAACAACAACTCACATAAATGCTTGAAAACAAATTACATAATATATATATAGATTATATTATATTTTGTAATATATAACTAAAGATATTCTGTGCATCGTTTAGTGGTGATATTCCTTTTGAACAACTAAGGGGTTAAGGGTTCAAATCCCTTTGGCACATTTTACTAGGTTTGATCGTAGTTTCCAGCACCGAAGCTCTGGCAACAAGAACACCTTTTTTTTTTAAAAAAAAAAATAGTGGCAAGGGCATTTTGGCAATTAAAATCTAAAAATTTAAATACATTGAAGGACCTTACACTTGTAGTGCATTTTTAGAATGTTTTGTGCCCTAACAGCAAACAAGTTCATTTTGGTGGCCTCGAACGAAATTCTCCCTTCAAATATTCACAGATTTAATTGAAAATAGCTCTCAATATATTATTTTATACCTTTCATTCATGCCCCCGCCCCCGCACATAAATTGTCACCAATGTGAGGGCCTTCCTTATAAAAGGATGGGCCTAGTGGCGCATCTGGCGAAAGTGGGGACTTTTCATTTTTTTTTTTTCATTTCTCTTCAGTATTCTCATTCCCATCATTTATTAATTTTATCATTTAAAAAAATTATTTAATAAAAAAATTTGAATGGTAGGGATGGGAGAAGTGGAGGGAAAAGGAGGAGAAAAAATGAAAACACCCCTAGTCCGCATCTGGCTCTCCATAGTTGGGTATTTTACAACTTCCTCGATCTCTTTTTACTTTAATTTTTAAATTTAAGATTTAAGGTTGAAATAAAAATAAGCACTTTTTTAGTACAGATAAAAATTAGTACTTTATCAGAATAAATATATTATCTCCACAATCGTTTATTTCATTATAAATAATTTTTTTAAATAAAAAATAAGAAATTAAAGATAAAATTAGAAATTGAGAAAAGATTTTGCACATTTCAAAAGTTGATAGTTCATGATATTATTTAGGTAATAGTTTAGAGTCCGCAATACTTATTAATTTTTAATAATAAATTTTTTTCCAAAAGTACTCTTAAGTACATTTGTAATTACTAATTATGGAGGTTTTCTCATTGTGATATTCTATTAAATAAGAATAAATATAAAAAATATATAATTTAAAGATGATTAACTAATAATTCAGAGAATATGAATAAATATAAAAAATATATAATTTAAAGATGATTAACTAATAATTCAGAGAATATGATTCGGATGAAAATGCTTTATACTATTGACCGAAAAGAGTATATAATTTTCTTGCAATTTGACGAACAAATCGAATCAGGTTTCATGGAACGCAGAGAACTAGAATCGAGCCCTCCTCTTCAGTATGATAACGAGAATCAGCGAGAGAAATTATTGGTTTTATTTTACCGCTTACGCTAATTGTCTCGTTCTAATTCCTCAAACAAACCATCAAACCTACATGCCATTTCTTATTTTGGTATTAAGTTTCTGAAAGACATCAATTAGCCTCATCCCAAGATTAGTGCATATCTCAATGAACTAATGTCCTCTTTCGGAGCTACCACTAACATGGCGAAAATCATTATTATTTACGGCTAGCTAATTAAGGCTTAAAGTCAATGATATTTCATGTACTGCAAAAAAGACAAAGTCAATGGTATTTTCCATATAAATAACAAATTAGTTTTAAATATCATTATTAGAAGGTTTATTACACATAAATTCCATGGATTTCGGATCATAGGTGGATATATTCCTCTTTTTTTAAAAAAAACAAAAATTCACAATAGTAATCTGTTAAAATTTTTACATTTGTATAGTAAATTTTATTGTTATAATTATTGATTTTACTTTCAAAATATGATACATTAGTGACAATTAGATATATTTAATTTTTTATTTTTAAAAAATAATTTTTCTAAATTACAAATCATTTCAAACCACGCGTTGAGTTATTTCATATATAATACATAGTTAATAAAAAAATTGAAAAGCTCGAGCAAACCTAATTAAAAATATAGCCCACTCCCTCCTGTACTATTTATATTTATAAGTATTTTTACTAAAATTAAAAAAAATCTTAAATCTCGTATTGACTTTGGTTAAAATTCAATAGGTTTTTAACTTTATTTCTATTAAATATGTACATATTTTTAAAATAAAATATTATAACATTTAATATAAACAAAATATTAAAGATGAACACAATAATTATTAAAGTGAACTAATAAATAGGATAAAAAAATATTTTTTTTTACTCTATAAATAGGATAAAAGAAGTACCAATTTGTGCTTGCTTTTATTGCCGGTGGATAACACTCTAATAAGTGTCCCACCCAAAAAAGAAATAATACACAAATTTAAAAGAAAACAAATAAATTTAATATTAGTTGGTTCAAAAAAAATCTTTTTACGTAACCGAAAATTAATAAAATATTCGTGCAAGGAAACATTTAACATTATTATTAACCAAAACATTGAAAATAATTAAATATTTAAGCAGCACATGAAGGCCGCATTCTTCTGTTTGAAGTTAGAGGTTACACTTCCAAGTTCTAAGTTCTACTTCTCTGCGTTTTATCTATTTTTTTTTTTAAATTTGGTTTAGGTGTAATTATACTTTTTTTTTAAATCAGAGCAGATAACAAATATATTAAAAAAAAATTAAACACAAACAATCGAGAAATATTTTATTTTCCAGAAAAAGATCAAACTTTGCTCTGTTATTCCATGGTCAGATTTCCCGAAAAATATATCAGAGCAGATCTTCTACATGAACCAAAATCAAATTCAGTGCATGCTCATTGTGCATTTCATGCGAATTAATTAAGCTAATCAACCTGAGTCAACATTGAACCCAAAATCTCATAATATAAATACCCCCACAAACCGCTCTAACTTCCCCATCACCACCTTCTTCTCCACTAACGCACACACACACACACTCTCTCTCTCTCACACATTTCGATTCTGAAACTGAAATTCCCAGAATGACGATCTCAATCTTTCATCTTCTTCTTCCTCGAGTAGCGCTCATAGTCCTCTTGATGATCTTCCTCCAGTGCTCTTCCTTCAACTCAGCCTCTGCATCAGTAGCGAACTACAATGTCGTCAGTTTCGGAGCCAAGCCCGACGGAGAAACGGACTGCACCAAGGCCTTCCTCAGTGCATGGGAGAAAGCATGCGGCTCGGCTGAACCTGCAGCCATTTACGTGCCGAGGGGCAAGTTCTTGCTCGGAAAAGCTGAGTTTACCGGTGAGTGTAATAATAAGGCTATCTCCATTACCATCGACGGCACCTTGCTGGCTCCCTCCAATTACCATGTCACCGGCGGCAATGACGACGACTGGATCGTGTTCCACAATGTCGATGGAGTCTCGATTCGAGGTGGCATGCTTGATGGCAAAGGCACTGCTTTGTGGGCTTGCAAGAACTCCGGCGGAAATTGCCCTTCTGGAGCCACGGTACGGTTACGTAAAGCTTTGAATTAAATTTTTTTTTTCTCAGTTTAATTTCTTGTTATTTTTATTAATTTTATTAATTAGATATGAACAATTTCTATAATTACACATGACACAATGGTCGATTGGTTGACTTTGTTTTTACTACATCGGACGAAAAGTTAATAGTATGCTTAAAATTGATAATCTATTAGATTTTGATAGGCCTAATTACTTAATTATTTTTTTTTAAATCATTTTTGTGTGGGAACTTCATTGCCATTGGATTAGGACATGCACATATGGTTGGCCCTTAATTATCGGTGCCAATGCTACGGTAAATACAATATCAAATTCGTTCAAAAAATTATAATATTCTACTATTAAAATTTGAAAAATTTACTATAGCAGTAAATTTGCAGCTGCTAGAAAATTATTTAAAGCTATGATTTGATACTGATAATATTACTGTAAGTCAAATAGAAAATTATTTAAAGCTATGATTTAACAAATGGTGTCAAACATACATTTTTTTTGGGTTTGGGGCCAAAATGAAATTTTTAAGAGGGGGCAGGTGAAATTTTTAAAAGAATTATGTGTAAATTTCTTCCTATAAATGTAACCCATAAGCAATATTATACACCCAGGTCCCTCATAGTGATTCTCTCATTAATTAATTTTGGGGGAGGCCAAACGGGGCCGAAAAAGTTGAATCTGTTAAGTTGGTTTTCAGCTGGGAAACTGGAAACTGTTTCGCCGTGGCTCAAGGAGAGGATACGTACTTGCATAGTCTTTGGCCTAATCAATTATCAATTAATTAATTTATGAAAAACACATCTCGTGGGATTTCTTCTAAAGTTGAAACAACAAGTTAGAATCTCAATGGTTAAACCTTAGTAATAATAATTGATTATATAATTTTTCATAACTTGCTATGTCAGTTAACTAAGGACATCCGTTTTGTTCTTTCACATTCCACTAGCTCATTAAGTGATCATTATTTATATATTATGGAAAAATAGGGAGTATAATTTTTTCAATTACTCCTTTGGGTCAAAAAAGAAATGGTCATTTAGAAATCTTAAATAACCTAAATATTTTACTAGAATACTATTATTATCATTATTTTGTTTTTTCTAGATCAGAATTCCATTGTTAAATATTACAATATTTTGAAAAATCTCTGTTTTTTTTTCTTTTAAAGAATATATATGTTTTAATGTTTGTTGTGTTTGTGCGTAGAGCTTAAAATTTATCAACTGCAAGAACATCAAGGTCACAGGGTTGACCTCAGTCAACAGCCAAATGTTTCACATAGTGATCCATGAAAGCCAACACGTGAAACTGCAAGGCGTGAAGGTGGCGGCTCCCGGTGACAGCCCTAACACCGACGGCATTCACATCGGAGGTTCAGACGACGTCACCATACTCAACTCCAACATCAGAACTGGGGACGATTGCGTCTCCGTCGGCCCCGGCACCACTAACTTGTGGGTTGAAAATATTGCATGCGGCCCTGGCCATGGAATCAGGTATTTTGAAATTTTATAAATTTCCGTTCATGTAGTACTATTAATTTAATTCCGATGCTGATAATAGATGCTATTTATTTATTTGGCAGTATTGGAAGTTTAGGGAAGGACGAGAATGAAGAAGGCGTACGAAACGTGACAGTTAAAACGGTTAAATTCACGGGAACTGAAAATGGCGTGAGGATCAAGACATGGGGAAAGCCATGCAATGCTTTTGTGAGAGACGTCGTTTTTCAACACGCCGTCATGGTTGACGTCAAAAACCCCATCGTCATTGACCAAAACTACTGCCCCGATCACGACGGCTGCCCTCAACAGGTTAGTTCTTGGGCCTCTTGGGCCTCCAAGCCTTCAAATTGAGCCCATTTGGTTAATTGTTGAATTAACAAAATTGAAATGAAAGCAGGCGTCTGGGGTGAAAATAAGCGACGTGAAGTACCAAGACATTCATGGATCATCGGCGACAGAGGTGGCAGTGAAGTTTGATTGCAGTTCTGAGAATCCATGCAGTGGCATCGCATTGGAGGACGTGAGGCTCACTTACAACAACCAAATCGCTCAGGCTTCTTGTCGGAATGCTGGAGGCACCTCTCAGGGTTTAGTTCAACCTGAAAGTTGCTTATAATTAGCTCAATTTAATTAGCTTAGTAATTAATCAATTAATGTATTTGGTTTCGCCTTGATGACTACAACAGATCATGGTTTTGATAGAATTAGTCTAGTAGTTATCATCTGCAGCTTGTAGCTAAAATCGTGACGTTGATAGATGATTTTCAATGTGAAACCACTTACGTATTACGACTGCCTTTGCGTTCCACAATCTCATTTCACAATATATCGTGTGAGTGTACTTGATGCGATTGATAGACATTAAATACATGTTTTAGACATGAAAAAATATGTGTTTGATAGACCCAGAAACCGGACCAGATAGTACCAAAAATCCTAAGAAATGTGTCGATAGATGCAAACCAAGCACATTCCCTCAGTAAGTTCATTTTCCTATAAAAATCCCAGATTTTACGTAATCAAAGGTCAAAAAAGAAGAAATTTCGTGGAAATATGAGTTGTTACTATTTATGCCAAGAAAATTACAATTTGGAACCAATATATGTTGGGAGCCTTTTATATTGGGAAATGAGTCTTCAGGATCATAATAAGATCATGAAGGTTATTGAGTATGAGAGGAGGGCTGATCCGCTCATTCAATGTGATTCTTCTATCACTTTGAAAGAAGCTTGGTGACTTATGTAGTGCTTTGTTGGGGACAATAATAATACAAATGAAGAAGGGTTGTTGGCATGGAATTTTATCATTCTTATATTATCAAATTTATAAAATACCTTTCAAATTATATTTTGAAGACAAAAATATATGCTTAGTCATTTAACTTTATATAAGATTTTAATTTAATTACATAATTTTATAAAGTACTTTTTCAGTCATACACCTTTAGCACTATTAATTTACAAACATAAAATGTTGACATTGAACTTTTAAATATTTACAAAACATTATATCAAATGTCAACACATTAAATTTATTTTTTAAATAATAATGATTGGCACAAAATATCATCATCATTTAAGATTAATGATATTATTGTGAAAAAAACAAAAAAAACTACTTCATAAAATTAAGAGAATAAACTAGAATTTTATGTAAAATTAGAGAACCAAAAGTAAATTTTTATCAATTTTGATCATATGTTAAATTACAACTAATTAATTACAAAAAAAATTAATCCCTTAGTCCCTAGAGTTTCAAGCCTTTTTTGATCAAGTCCCTATAATTAAAGAAGTTAGAAAGTAGTCCTTAGAGTTTGCTCTATCAATCTTATTAATCCTCACACTCCAAGAAAAAAATACATTTCAAAGCATTTTTTTGGGCAAAAGGGCAAAAATGTCCTGGAACTTTTTCTCTAAGGGCACCTGATATCCTAAACTTTTTTTAAGAGTAATGTTGCCCTGAAAGTTTCAACAAATGGTGCAATGTTGCCCTGACGTTAAATCTGATGGATGTTGATTGTTAAATTAAAAGTTTGACTTGAGAATTTACACGTGGCTTTTTAATTGTAATTTTTCCTTGCTAATTCATTGCATGGTCCGAGCTGGGGAGTTGTATTCAAGCCATCTGGTCTGAGTGGGGTTCAAAGAGGAGAGGACACGAGAAGGTTTAAGTGTTTGAGTCGAGTCATCTTGTACGAGCTAAGGTTCGAGTCAAGGTTAGAAGAGGGTTTGAGTCGAGCCATTTGACTCTGAGGTGCATGAGTCGAGAGTCGAAGAAGGTTTCAATCTTGGTTTCTTGCCTTGAGGATTCGAGTTGGGGTTCGAAGAGTTGCGTAAGTCAAGAATCGAATCTTTAGGGCTTCATAAATAGTACATCATAGTAAATCATCGGCTTTTATAGGTAAGTAATCTAACCATCTTAGTGATTTTGCTTTTCATTTGCACAGTGTAAGTCCATCTAACCTCTGTCTCTTTGTGTTTTTTCCTCTTAGTACTAAACTATCTAAGATGACCTTTAATGGGGATAATGAAGGTACTAATTGGGACGCAATAGATAGAGAAGACCCAAGAATGAAGGTGAAGACACAATGTTTGGAGCATATATATAGCAGGGTTTATAAGAACCTAAGGGTTTTTGCTAAGTGGTTAGCTTCCTGCTTCAAGAACAAAGTGCAAGAGAGACCATAGTACAAGATATTAGATATGAAGAAGGATATAAAGGATGACTTGAAACTTTATGTGAGCTTGCACAAGTGCAAGCGTGCTAAGAAGATAATCATGCAAGAAATGGAAGGGAGTTACAAGGATGAGTTCAGTGATGTAGAAGCTTATTGTAATAAGGTGAGATCGTTAAACTTGGGTTCTGATCTGAGCATGGAAGTGAGTAAAGAAGCTCTAGAGAATGGCGAAAAGGTGTTCAACAGACTCTATATGTGCTTGAATGCTTCTAAGGTAAGATGTTATTTTCAATGGTTGTTTATGTTTTGAAGTAGTTATTTATCAGATCTAATTAGTATTTATATTTTTATTTACCAGGTTGGTTGGAAGGTAAGGTGTAGACCTATTATTGGGCTTGATGGCACATTTCTAAAGGACATGCTTGAGGGATTTTACTTACTACTACTGGGATTGATGCTGATTATGGTTTATTTCCTATAGCATTCAGCTTAACTCAAAAAGAGAATACCATGAATTTGGACTTGGTTCATGCAATGGCTTCAAAAGTCATTAGACCTTGGGGATGACTCTAAGGTCACTATAATGTCTGCCATGCAAAAGGTTAGTCATTTTACACTTCTTTAAATTTTTTCAGAATGGTAGGAGATTATTAAATGTAGGGCTTGATGGATACTGTGCAAAACATACTACCAGCGACCGAGCATAGATTTTGTGTTAGGCATATTTATGCCAATTGGAGCAAGAGATGGAGAGGCAATGAGTTGAGGAAGAAGTTCTGGACTTGTGATGGAGTACATTTAAGGAGAAGTTTAAAGATAATTTGAAAGCAATGGAAAGCCTAAGCAAGCAAGCAGCAGAGGTAGTGATCACTTATCCTCCTAAGAGTTGGGTAAGAGCATACTTTAGTACAAGATGTTTATCTTGGAATGTTGACAACAATGTTAGTGAAAGTATGAATTCATGGATAGATGACTTTAGTTATTTTCCTGTAATTAGAATGTTAGATGGAATTAGGATTAAAATGATAGGCAAATAGGCTAACGCTGAAAAGAATGTACAAAAGTAGATTGGGGATTTCAGCCTAGGTGTTTAAAGTTATTTGATACAAAAAGGGATATAGCAGTGAAGTATAGATGGTGACCATGGTTATAAAGTTATAGAGGGTCTTGATAGGCATGTGATATTTCTCAATAGTAAAAAGTGCATATGTAGGATTTAGGATCTCATTGGAATACCTTGCCAACATGCCATATGTGCCTTTTATGATGAAAAGATAGACCCAAGCACCCAAATATCTCACTTTTATCATAAAACCACCTATCTCGACAGTTATATGACTAAGTTACGGCTTGTAAGAGGCAAACAATTTTGGAAGGTAGACCAATTTCAGCCAATGGAATCACCTTGCATTAATTATAGACATAATTTCCCATTCTCACCTTTTCTTTTTTCTATACTTTAAAATTATGATAGTACAATATTAAATTTTAAAAATATATTTTTCATAGAGTTTACTAATGAGACATATTTTAAAAAATACTCCCACTAGTTCTATTTGCACGGTAGAAAAAAGATTTTTTATAATTTTATTTATAAGTTAAATCATTGAATTTTTATCAAAAATTTCTCTTATACTCTACATTAAATGTTGGTGAGTGAAAGCACATTATTAAAGTATGTATGTTTAATATAGATAAAGTTGGAAACATATTAAATTTTTAAATAAAGTTAATAAATTTTAAAGTTTTTTTTAATATTGGTGAAATATATTAAAAATAATTTATAAATAAGATAACAGAAATACATTTGATCAGGTTAACATCTGAAATTCATGCATTGAAATAAAAATGGGTTTGGATTTATTTGGAGGTCAAAGATTTCAATGTTCCCTCTATGAATGGCTTCGTTTTCGAACAGCTTTGGCTCTTGGCTGAGTCAGACATGTTACATCTGTGGCACTGTTATGAGGCTAATTCTCACTTAGCCACCATGTGTGGCTACAATTACATGTTATATATATATTAAGCCTCCTAAGTTTCTAAATACTTGATGGAAAATCACATGTTCATATCATACTTGTACAATGCATGCTATCACTCGGATATTTGATGCCAAAACATACAATATACCTGTAGATAAACATCTGTAGCTTGCATCTGCCAGCTGACAGATGAATACAAGTATACAACAATGAAATAAATGGAATGAAACTTGTCAAAATCAAAACACACTTTTACTATCTGCTTGTAACACTAAGTTTCTGTATAAATAAGTTTGTTTTAGTCATTTTTCTTGCTTACTGATTTTACATCATCAGGTATGCAGGATGACCAATAAACTGGCAACAAAGTGCAACCAGCTTGAATCAGAAGTCCAAGGGGGAGTCCTGAGAAGTCACTTGCTGTTACCTTAATGAAAGATGCAAGGGCAACACCAAGGTATCCACTCACTATTAGTGAGAGGGCTACGGCAGACATGAGAAACGCCATTACAGATCCCTCACAGCCCGGTGGACAGAGCTGTGCTACTAAAACCATGAATGGCAGAATCTTGAAGAAGAATAAAACCTCCAAGAGTCCTGAGAATAGTATGACGTAGAGTGAGTCAGGCACACCCAGTTGTCGATAAAAGCCTTGTACAAACAAGAAATCGGAAAACATGAAGATTGCCATTGTAACTTGAATGGCTGATATGATTTTCCTTGGGGGGACTGATTTCAGACGTTGGTTATAAATGATGCCCCAGAAAAGCATTGCTGCCTGGCCAAAAAACTTGGATATACCCAGCACCGATGACTGAATTTTCAAATACTCAGTCTGGTAAAAGAACATGGTGCCTGTAAGTGCAGGAATGACAGCATAAGATGCTGCAAACCATGATATTGAGAATGCAATCTCAGGTTTTCTCAATGCAACTGATAATTCTGAAATTTGTTTTTTCATCCCAACAGATGGACTCTTGGGAAGGTCAAGAGAGCTCTCACGAACAGAAATGGTTAGAAAAAATTGAAGGCCAAGGAGAAGGCCGAAAAACATGAACAAAGATTTTGAAGAAATCCGGCCAATTGCCATGCCTCCAAGGAGGTTTCCAAGGACTCCTCCTAAAGAGGAAACAATCCAAACAAAGGACTGGAGGCTGCCTGAGGACTTGGTTGAGGTTTGTGGCTTTTTACTCATCTCTGCCACAATTGCATCATTTGCTACCTCAGCTATAGAAGCACCAAGGTTACTAAGGAGGAGGAACATGGAGAAGTGAGAATCGACATGCTTGCTGGTGAAATTGCTATGGCTAGCCATGACAGTGCCTGCAAGAAAGCTGCAAATCAGATATGAGACAATCTTTTAGACAATGGCAATATCATTTGTAGAAATTTGAAATGCAATGACATTAAGGAAACTCAGAATAACTTTCAGTTCTAAATTTTGGTTCACCAAAACTTCTTGGATACATATCTTACTGATAAAAGATGCTGCTCCTTCGTGACATGGGAGTGGACAATCTTCAGAAATTATATTGGTATAGTGATTACTAGATTGCTAAGTATTTAGTGTTTCTAAGGAAACAATCCCTCTGCTCCTTTCAAAGATATTAAAGAGAGAACAAATAAAGAAGGTTCAGAAACTTCACGAGTCAGGAACCCAGTACCACAGCATTCATGTTTGAAATAAAATATGAAAACTCAACTTCTATGGGGAGAAAGTTTTGATGCTCAAATCTCCTCAAAAGCTGGATGAAGAAAGTAGAGCATGTCATTATACGTAAGTGGTATGTACTTTCAGATGATAATCTAACGAATTCCATATATTGTAATTAATTATATGAAAGAAATAAACTTGTGTTTTATCTGTTTTTCTATAAAAAAGAAAATAAAAATTCATGGGATTGGCAAGTTAACTTCATAAATTTATTGCAAAATAATTTGTCCATTTAATGTGAATCTAATTATCATAAAAAGAAATAGGGCTTTTATAAGTGAAAAGTTAGCTCAGATAAGATGTATCCTGTTTGCTGTATTTAGTTTTCTTAATATGAGTGCTTTATCTAATTAAAGTTTATGCAACTTGGATGCAATGTTTACACACAAGTACTGAAGTTAGAGATAATAAAATTGACCCAAAATCAACACGCCGTACATATTTTGTTTTGTTATTTAAAAATGGGGAGAAACTCCCAAGGGGAAAACAGTATTAGATACAAGTGATGTTTGTCTCAAACAGTCCACCTTTGTTACCATATAATTATCCAGCACGACTTCCTTCCTTTCTTCCACAACCGTAAGACTCAAAATTCTAAATGAAGCCTCCATTTCATAGGTTCTCATTTCCACTCTTAGCTCTATCATATAAATAGTTCCCAAAAACAGAGCTCTATCTGATATATATATATATATATATATATATCCATTTCTGTGGTCTAAACAGCTCAATGTGTTAGTTTCAGAGTTGACTTGTAAGATATACAGCAACAGATAAAATCTAGCAAAGAACAGAAATTTGGTTGCATAGCTTATTAGACAGAAATGAATGGGATCTGTGACTAGCATAATGTTGAACTTCCTTACCAGCTAACATTGTGAGAAATCAAGTATAAGAAAATATTCAGTTCAAACAATAACCATAAACCTAGGTTACGCTGAGACAGAAAATGGGTTATAACCATCTGAAGGAGGATGTAATCCATAATAGGCAACTAGGCAAGTCCTATCATACAAACAGAAGAAAGTTTCCCTCTATTCAAGTGTATGATCATCTTCAAACTAGTATTATGAACAGCCCATCTATTATTTCTACCAGCAAATAATCCCTAAACCTTTTAAAATTAAAGTTACCAATGTAGAAACAGATTCCACTTCTATTTTTGGATACCCTGTAAATTGATTTTTATGTTTGAAGTGATATCCATTCTTAAGTATCTCCATGTAGTAATTTATGCTTCCTATGAAAAGACCAAGTCCCTCAGCCCAACCACAAACACATCCCAGCCCTTTCCAGCACCAGGTCAACTAGGCTGGGCCTGGGTCCCAAGCTCAAAAGTGCAGCCTAAAGGGTAAGCTGGACTGCTTTCTTAGACTAATCAATCCCTAGCTTGGTCCAGACTACGCATACCCTTACCATCTAAGTCAATTTGATACAGCAAATAAGCCTTTAAATTTTGGGAGAATTACATATTGGTCCTAGGTAAGGAAACTAATTACTTACAAGCCCCGTCAACTTGTAAATTCTGAAGTTTAACACATAAATAGAGAAGTAGACTCGTAAAAGGACTGAAGAAATAAACAATCTTCTTATTTGAGATCTGATTGTAATTCTCGCTTCAAATTTTCTATGATACAGATGCTAATTTAGAACTAGGTTCCACTTCTTTCACTTTAAGGTACAAAAGCAATTGGGAGAACGGTGAGCCAAAAAAATTAGGGAGAAGAGAAAAAGACCGGCTAAAATGTAATACCAAGAGATCCAATGACAGTGCGTACAACACTAACCACACAACTGTATTTTTACTAAAAGCATAAACACTCAAAGACACTTATATCCTTTATCTTGGGTACACTGCAAATAACTTTATTCTTAACCTACTGTTTGGGAATGATGTTGTTTGTTGTTTCTTTCCCTCCTGTGTGATTGCTTTGCATCTTTTTTGCTGCTGTTTTTCTGACATCTCTGTTCTTTCTGTGTACTTGTTATTTGCAATTTGTTTTTATTTTTTGGGAGATAATAACTATGAGCCCCTGTAGTTTTAACAAGTTTTGGCATGGGTCCCTATAGTTTTTTTCATTCCTCTAAATCCTCTAGTTTATCCCATTTGCAACATTAGTCCCTCTAATTTTAAATATTCCCAGAAACACAATGAGATTACACTAACAGTGTTAAACATGTCGACCTATAACTAACATTGTTAATCTATGTAGAGGTGAAATTATGATTTAGTATATTAACAACGTTGTCCACTCATACTGTTTCATGTTTCATATCTCATGTTTCATGTTTCACTCTATTGAGGGACTAACGTTGCAGATGGGATAGACTAGATCAACAGACCTGCAGCAATGAAAAAACATTATAGGGACCCATACCAAAAAACATTTAAGCTAAAGAGACCAATAGTTGTATTTTCAATGATTTTTAATTAGTAAATATTATTTTAGATTCGATTCTGTTTATATTATCAGAAATAAATTGATCTGAACAGATCTACCCTAGATTTTCAGCTAAAGAAGGCAAGCTTGTTGCCTTAGCTGTATATATCCTCCTCTCTGCAGAATAAAAATTATTGGACTGAACAGAAATATAAACTCATCCAGTTTCTTCATAGAATTAGAGATTATCATAATTAAATTGATCTGAACAGATTTACCCTAGATTTTCAGGTAGAGAAGGCAGACTTGTTGCCTTCGCAGTACACATCCTTCGTCATGCGGGATAGTAATTAGGAAGAACTTCAAATAAGGACCAAGGATGTGACTTAATTACTAGTGGGCCCTACAAAATTTTGAAACTTCAGTTCAGTCTAGGAGGGTAAAAGTGAAAATAATTTCAACTATGAAAAGACTAAAGTACCCTTCACTAGTGATGCAAAATCACTAGTTGTTAATTTTCTTACTTCACTTGTTAATTTGCTTGTTAATTTACTAATGAGTTGCAAATTACATGAGTTAACACGTTAATAATTATATAAGACTTGACATCAATTATTAAATTGCTAACTTTATTTGTTAATTTACAAATATTAATTGTAAATTGCTGACAGGTCCTATAATTTACTAATGTCACTTGTAAATTATTGACAAAACTTGTAATTAGCAATTGATGTTAGTAAATTAATAAATAAAGTTAGCAAATTAACAACTAATGTTATTGCTTATCTGACAAATAAATGTAATTTACAAGTGATATTGGTAAATTAGCAAGTGAAGTAAAAAAAAAAAAATCAATAACTAGTGATTCTGCATCACAAATAAAGGATACTTTGATCTTTTCACATTTAAAATTATTTTCACTTTTATCTTCTTGGACTGAACTAAAATTTCAGAATTTTTTAGAATCCACTAGTAATGAAGTCACATCCTAGGTCCTTATTTGAAATTCGCCCTAAAAATTAATCTGATTTCTTCACCTACAAGACTTTTCCAAATACTAAATGCTTCTTAAAAAAGACTATCAAAATCGCAGCGGGTTTTGAATTAGAAAATGTCATCAAAGTTGCTCTTTCTCAGTGAGATGTAGCATGAAGACTGGGGAGTCAATACAGAATATAATGCTCGTAAATGCAAAATTAGAGAGGGGATGAAATAGCTTAAAAATTTTAAGGAGGACAGAAATGACAATAGAATGAAATTTTATCCATGTTGAAGTTGAACTTGACACAAATAGAATCTCATAAGAAGAAGAAAATTATATAAATGACAGTTATAGAATCTCAGAAGAAGAAGAAAATTATATAAGTCACAGTGGAAATACAGGAATTTAATCTGAACATGCAAATCAGAGTAAAGCCATGTTGGGCTCTATATTTACACAACACAAAAATGGAATTGATTTTATTTATCTATTTATTTATTTAATGGGTAGAATCTGCTTTTGTTGTCAACACCATATTTTCTTCTGCTCGCGCCCATGTCCTTTAAGCCCACATACCGGCAATATCATGACCTCTGCGAAGGAATGTTTAAAGTTTGGTCCAGAGCTATGAAGCACCAAACGGGGGATTGTGTGTTGGGACTTAAATCATAGGCATCATGCATATACAAAATATCTAACCCACCATTCACTCAAAACTTTTCAAATCTGCATGGTATAAGATTTAACTTGATGGTATTACAAAGCATATAGAGCACCACGGAAGTTATTAGCAGAAAAGTTGCAAACTTTAACACCAGAGATCATATAAGAATCAGCAAAAGCACAGAAGATAGGTATTGATACCGGAATCTCACATCTGCTTTATATTATTTTTCTTTACGCTTCTTCAAAGCAACCCAAAACCAACGTATAAAGAAGGTGTCTCAGTCCATCATCCAAAAAGGTATCTATCTAAGCATTTACATTTATGCGTAAAAAAAAAAATAGATAAATAAAACTATCATCGCCACTTCGCATTTAGCTGTAACGAATCATGAAGCATCGAACCCAACTCCCGAAAGAAAAATTACCCGGAAAAAAACTTATCGGTGAAATCAGAAATGAATTACCTCCAAGGGCGATATAGGGAACTCGATGCTGGCCTGAGATATAAACGGCATCGGAAACGAGGCCATAGATGGGTTTTCCAACCATGGGAAGATTTGCAGAATTCTGAAGGACCTGAAGAGTGGAAGGATCCACATTTAACCCATCCTTGAGGAAGAAGTTCACTATTAGCCATGGGAAGCACCTGAATCCCTGAACCCAATATCCCAAACCCAGAAGCTTCCCAATCGGATTTCCATCACCATTTCTACTGGCAACACCACCAGTATCCGAAGAGACCATTATGCTCCGTTTTCTGAGCAATAATAATTGAAGAGAAGAAAGAAAAGTTTTGAATCTGACGTGAGAGGAAAATTTGAATTTAACGAGAGAGATAGATAATGTGGAGTCAATAAACAAAATCAAAGGCCTCTCTGTGTCAAGGAGTAAAGGTATTGCCGCTTCTCCTGTTCCTTTCTTCCAAAAAAGACGACGTTAAAGAGCGACACTTGTGCGTTCGTTAACACGCAATAGTAAATAAGGGAACTATTATTGGATGACACGTGCTTCCTACAGGGCGCTGATGCCTTTTTTATTTTTATTTTTTATATAAATTGTTATCTTAATGAATCATGCCCCACGACAAAGGTATAAAAGGTCGGGGGAATTTTATTTTTTTAATCAAAACTAGAAACTTCTATTTTAATACTTCTAAGGTCTCGCATTTAAATATCATTAACCCAATATCTTTCTTTTTGGTATGAATTAATCCAATATCTTGGATGGCTATCAAGTGAAATGTATTCCTCGTAAACAATTTCTATGGCAGTGAGGTGGCTAACTCTATTTTAAATACCTCTATTTCTTTTATCAATTAAGCTGATTGTTTTATTCGGGGCTTTGGTTCCTATTATGTTAGATATAGTTTTTCTACATTCTCTCTTGATTGATATAATTCCCTTGCCAAAGAGGAAATTTGTATTTTTTTTTTTGGAAACTTGATTTGCCCTACAAAACCCTCCGTTCCATTTGGAAATCAGTTCATGTGGCAATACCTACAGGGATGTATTACGTAAGCATCATCTTAATTCTTCACTTTGGTGTGCATTTAATTGTGATTCACTAGAGACTTTATATCACATTTTTTGCAATTGTTACTACACAAGAGCTATATGGTGTGGCTCATCATCCATCTGTCCTCAGACATCTAATCGCTACATATGGTCTTTTCTCTTAAATCTTACAGAGATTTAAATATTTTTTTCAGAATTAAAAGGTTCAAACTTTAAAATACATCTACCTTCTTTTTTATTTGATTTGATATAACAGAAACCAAGCTTTCCATATAGAGAAGATAACCTCAACTATATAAGTTATTTGATACTATAATGAGCAATATCACTCTAAAAGGTGTATGCAAATGAAATAACGGGATGTAATATAATGAAAGCCATAGACTAGAGGGTCGTAGACGAATGATCTTCACTTTCTTTTGACAACCTTCACTTTCATTTTCATTTTTTAAGTTGGGAAAGTCAGTTTATTATCTTTAAGAAAAGAAAGAGAACTTATTGTGGTGTATCTTTATTACTCAACCATGAGGGATGGATCAAATTGCTTCTCTACATATCTAAAGCTATCTCTCGACATCACTTCTTGGCTTTCTATGTTTGTAGCCTCTTCTTATGGATCAAAAACTTATCTTTTAAACATTTTGGAGATCCTTGCGAGTTTAGGGAATTTGAAAATCAAACAACAGAGGGTTTGCTCCTATTCTAATCAACGGTACCTCATAGACTGAGACATTTCAAAGCTACACTACTACAAATTATAGTATCTATGTCGCCATCCATGCTAGTTGATCCAAAATTGACGTACGTACACCAAATAGGTAGTTGCAGACACATAAATACTTTAATGAATAGTTCTAAGTTAGTTTAAGCAGAAACTAACATAGAGTTCAAATGTCACTGAATCTACGTAGGTTTTATATCAAACTGATGTAGACACGTTGCCCTTTTCAAATTCGTGCCTGTTGGCTCCCTCATTTTTGCTGTTCGTAAAACACATATCGTTGGAATACAGAAATTAAATTCTATATCCCCATTTGTTGTTTCATGGGGGATATAAAAAATTATACAGAAAATTATGAATGCATAAATGAAGCAAATGGAGAAAGCTACAGAGGTTGTTGCTGTTGTTGAAAGGATTGTAAGCATTGAAACTCATTATATTTAATCATGATTATATATATGATGCCTTCTAAGAAATAAATTGTTAATTACTTATTACTTGTATGTTACAAGATTTATTACAGAAGCAAACTTCCCAAGGTGGTTTCACTCTAATTGGAAGGATAGGCATTTTGACCGCAGCTATTGAAAGGCAAGATCACCCCAGGCGTGTTTGAGGGGTAGAAAAAGGGGTTGGTCTCGTATAATACTTCGAACCATCTTCACATGCAACTCCACCAGCACGCATGATATATAGAGCTGAGGTTCATGATGAGCTGATTGCTAAGATTAGGGAGACACTACATGAGCTCGAGCAACCAATTTGCGATTTTCTCAAGGATGAAATTATGGCTTAGGTTCGTGTTGTGTTTAAAAGAACATATGATGACCATTTGAGAATACATGAAAAAAACACTTTATTGTCCAGTATTTCACCGCATTAATTCTCTCCATTATAAGACGAATTATGATAATTGGAATTTCTTGTTTTATATGGCACCTTCCTACGTTATGAATAGTTGTGGGTGGCTAAAGAGAAAACATACCTAAGAGTGATTATCACATCTCAACATTCATTCTTCTCTCTCTCTTCAATGCTTCTGTTGTGTATTTAAGAAAGAATTTAAGTAGTTTCATCTAGCATGAGTAGTCAGGTTGATTTTATAACAGATACTTGGATCTAGTAAGACGACTCTCGCCCAACTCTATTTTTCAGATTATTATTTGTTTATAATTTCCTTCAAGAAGGATATATGAGATATTGGTGTCTCAGAACATATAGATGACCTGTTTGAGAGTACATGAAGACCATACATTTTTATTAAAAATTAAAGAAAAGCACACTCGACACTTTAGCACGAGAAGCAACGTAATTAACCCCACAAATTAAAGACCAAGTTTAATTAATTACAAGCTAGGTTGAAACTTTCTTGACTCTTGCCAGGCAATTGTCCATAGGCCTCGTGTGTGGCAAGAATCTCACCGGACATTTAGGATTACGCTGTTCAAGTCTGTGGCCAAAAAAAAAAAAAAAAAACCTTGTTACATCGAATGCTTCAAGTTTAGCACTAATTTTAGTTTCTTTTGTACAATGACTGTAGCCTCTATCTAGCTAGAAGCAAAGCTGAGATGGGAAAATTAAATATCATGTTTGATTTACCTATTTCCAGAATAGTTTTTTATTCTGAAACATAAAAAGAAAAAAAGAAAACCTATTTTAATATACGTGTATTGTTATCTATTATGAAAAACAAACAAAAAAAGTTAGAAGTTATTCTGAAAACTGAAAAGCCAAAACATCTTTTTGATATTTTGTTACGTAAAACAAGAGCAAAGGCAGAAACATCAAATTCATTTTCATTAATGAGAATTATATTTAAAAAATAAATATTTTTTTCACTACTTATTTCATCACTTTACATATGACTTGTGAAATAATTAATCAAAGAGATTTTTTTTTTCATTTTTTCCAGAACATTTTCTAAAAAAATTATTCTACGAAATTGTCTTAATAACATTTAAAAAAAACACAATGAAACCAAGTCCTAAATGCCATGCACTTCTAAATATAGAAAAATAGTTAAAGAAACAAACACCAGCGGAAGGAAATAATTTCAATGGATAGATTAAAAAAACAAAAGAAGGTTAAAGATGAAAAGTGGAAAACTTGTGAAGGAGGACTCACTGATAATTTAAAAGAAAGTGGTGAAGAAAGACTGTGATTTCCAATTTGGCGAGATCATTTCCAGGACACATTCTGCTTCCTGCTCCAAATGGAAGGAACTCTCCAGCCTTGGGTGTGAAATTCTACATCAGCAAAAATCATTTCACTAATTAGATCTTCTATTTATATGCATTCAATTCTGGATATATCTGGTAAAATATTTGAGAGTACACTTTCAAAGTGAAAAGATCGTCGACCTAAATATATATAATATTTTGATTTTTCTTTCTGTGAAAGTGAGAATATTTTGATATTTTTTAACATAGAGATTGTAAACATATGCTTGTAATTTACAAAGAAGAACAATAATGAAAAGTTACGAAACTTACATTCCAGCGTAGAGGATAAAATTCCATTGGATTAGGGTATATTGCAGGATCAAAATGAACACTCCTGAACCAGGTGAGAACTTTCCAACCTTTAGGAATGGTATAACCTATACCAACCAAATCAAACCATTAAGATATTGTTAAGTTAAACTTCAAGTACCCTCATAACAGTGTGTGTGTGGTGTTTCAGAAATTTCCAACACAAATATACTTATGAAGAACATCATTAGAAAACGAGAGCAAGCAATTAATTAAAAGAAAGCTAAGAAAATATATAGTACGTAGTAACACTGACCGTTGAGATTGACGTCGCGTTTTGCCTCTCGAAACACCGTGAAAGAGAATGTAATTAAACGCAATGTTTCATCAATAACCTATATATGCTTACACAAAACACGAGAAGATGGTCTTATTAATGCAGTTTAGTTATTGAATAATAGAGATCATCAAAACAGACAGACTCGTACACGTGTACCTTTGAAGTAAAATCCATCTGTCGAACCTCCTTCATGGACAACCTCGTCTGTGTTGGTGGCCTTTTCTTGACGATTTCTTCATGTTCAGCCTGCTCAATGTTACACATGTTCCAAATTTTACTGAGATTATGCGTAGTAATAATCTATTTACCTATCCTGTGCATATTGTATAGAGTTTGAGTTAGCCGCATTTTTCATGGTCATGCTAGCTAATAGATTTTAATATTATATATATATATATATATTATATACGTTAAATTATACAAAACTCTTTTAAATTTTAAAACAGTTGTACAAAACATCTTTCATCTTTAAAAGTTTAAAATTAACTTTCTTGACTTTTTTTTTTTTTCATTAGAAACTCCCTTATGATTATTTTTTAGCTATCTTATTTACAAGAGTTATTATGTCATACTAAAAAAGACTAGTAGTAGCTTACGTGGCATATATCTAGTGCAAGCTAACTAATCATAACTTTATAAATATTTTATACATATTTTTTGTTATTATTAGCATTGAATGCCACATAATCTACTACTCATCTTTTTTAATATGACATGACAACTTTTATTATTAAGATAATTAAAAAATAATAATAGATGAGTCTACGATAACAAAATTAAAAGGATAGAAAGCTTAATTTTAAGCTTTTAAATACGGAAAATTTCTGTCCAACTATCTCCAAGTTAATGAGAGTTTTGTATATTTAGCTCATATATATATATATATATATATATTTAATATTCGTCGATGTATTGATTTAGTGTAAGCATGGATATATATATATATATATATATATATAAGGAAGTAAGTTGATAGATATGCTAGATATGCTTCATATGTAGTTCATAGATTTACCTTGGCCATTTGGAAAAATTCAGGGTGATTTTGTAAGAAAATTGTGGCCCACATGGAAATATGTCCTGAGGATTCGTGACCAGCATTCAAGTACATCAACATAATATCAATTATTTCCTCATCACTTAATTTTCCTCCATTTCCATCTTCCACATTCATCAGAGCATCCATCATGTCTTTTGTTTTTCTAAATCCCTCTTCCTTCTCTTGCTTTCTTCTCTCATCCACCACAGCTTGAAATACTCCAACTAGCTTTTTTCTGGCCTGAAAATTTCAATAATAAATTCACAACAGACTCTACCATTAATTTTAAATACACCTATACAATTATTTAAATTTAGTATAAATTAATTAAATTATAGTCGCAAGACATAATTGTTTTTAAGATTTTCCTGAATTTTCCTCGGTTTGATCGAATCCCAATTTTTCTTCTTTTCTCAATGAGTAAATCAAAAGAAGGCAAATACATATTGGACATACATATGGGGGAAAAAAAATCCCCCACAAAGTTTCCAGCTACCTTGCCTTGTTTAGATTTAGAAGAAGTATATGCGTCTACACTGTGTGAGAGAGAGAAAGACACAAACATGCAGGGACATTATTAAAAATAAAAGAAATCTCACATTTAAAAATTAAAAAATTAAAAGATAGATCATTAATAAATATAAAGTTTATTGAGATGTGTTTAACCAAATAGCTTAAGTTATTTTAAGTGAAATAAAATGTACTTAAACATACTTAATATAAAGAATTTAACACGCAACAGCCTATTATTTCAATTCATGCATGTGCACACACGCACACTCTCATACCTTGAGGGATGAATGATATGCAAATCCAGGAATATTGATAGCCATGCATCTAATTCCATGATTAAGCGTTGTGTACTCTTTCTCCAAAGCTTCCACAACAGAGTTACTTGCTGCGCCAAGGAAAATATGAGTAATGACTCTAAAAGTAAGCTTACGGACCTGAGTTAGAAACTCAATTTCTCCCATTGTTGTCCACTTCTCCAATGAGCTTATCACATTCTCTTCAATGTATGTCAAGTACAAGCTCAGTGCTTCCAAGCCATTGACCGAAGCCGCCGTGAGGCGCCGGAGACGCTTATGTTCTTCATAAGGCATGATGACGAAGGACTTCCTTCCCACGAGCTCCACGGTGGAAAGAGGCCAACCATTGATGAAGTTTTCGTCGTCGGTTAATACTTTGCGGCATCCTTCCGGTGTTGTCACGATCACGCTTGGATCCCCAAACATCATGGCCTTATACATTCCCGTATCTCCATATCTGCAATAGTAATTTCTGTCCATTTAATGCATGCAGACAGAGATCAACACCATGAATATGCATGCATGAATGATTTTATATATATATACATATATATATGATCCACTTTCTCAAAATGCATTAATTTCATCAACTCACTTTGAAAACTCATTCCACACAGACAAGGCATATATATAGCTTCTTAAGTGATTGGTGGTAAGTAATTAACTAAAAGTATATCTTAACCTAAAAACTTGCTTTATCATGTAATATTAGTGGGGAGACGGGGGCAGAGAGAGAGGATGACCTGGAGAGAAGAGAATCAACAAATGAATCAGGATCGGTGGATTTGAAGGCAGAGAGGAAGGAGAACATGTTACCAAGGAAAGGCCAACCAAGATCTCCAGGAGGCAAGCGACAATGCTTTGGCTCGTACATCCAGCGATTCACATTTTTCAGAATCCATCTTAAGACCGAAATTCCAACACATAAGGCCCCCAGCATCACCCACATCTCCATACCTACTCTTTCTTCCTCTTTCTTTCTTTCTTTCACTGTCTCATCTAGTCTAGCTATATGCCCCAACATCTCCATTTATATTACAAGTTTTAACTTCTTGTTAATTTCTGGTTTCAAAAATAAAAAGTCTGACAGAGCCATGATCACTTTTAATTTCCAGGTTCAAACGGTACCTGAACAGAAAAGAAATAGGAGAGAGAGTGGTCAGTAGTTTCAGAATATCCCTGAGAAAGCCATGCATACTTTTTTTTTTTTTTTTCGTTTTTTTGGTTTTGGCCTCCAAGATCATTGAAAGAATAAATAAAATTGAAACTGAAGGAATTGAAAAATGTTTAAAAAAAAGTATGTTTGGTATGATGAAAAATGAATGAAATCTTGGTATAAACAAATTCAGCAGGGAAAAGGAAGCCAAAAATGTGAAGAGACAATAAATACCCTTATATTCTTCATCTTCATATTCATACTGATGTATCAAAAATATGTAGGAGGCATTATAATGTCTTTGTCTCTCTTCATTTTACCTAGGTCACTTTAAAGTTTCATATTCTAGCATATGTTTTGTGTATACAGAGATAGCTTGGGAGGGATTTTGGCCCTATTTGATACGCAAACCTCAATTTAAAGGGATTGAGATTGAAATTAAAACTAAAATTAGTATTGAAATTAGAGTTGGGATTGAAGTTTTAAAAGTATGTTTGGTGAAGAATAATATTTGAAACGAATACTTGCAATACTTTTATTTTATAGTCAATAAGAAATTGTCAAAAGACAATAATGACCCTTATTGCAAAAAAAAAAAAAACATGCACTCTCAAACTTAGATTAGGAGCTCTGAGAAAGTGTTTCATTTTCACAAGTCTAGCCACAAGCTTGAATCGAGGCATTCTCAATCTCATACACAACAACTAAAATACCATGTACTAATCAATATAAGAATATATTAATTGTTTTTCATTAATGTAAATTATGAAAATAATTTAGAAAATCTATAATAAATGATTATTGAGATATATAATTTTTCATACTAAAAAATTAAAAGTGACTGTTTCTCTAACAAATATAAAAACGGAGGGAGTATCTTTAATAATTTTTTCTATCATTTAATAAAAATATAAAAATAAAAATGATTGTAGAAAATAGTGAAGTTCCTTACAAATATAACTAAAATTAGTTTTCTTTTTCTATCAAATAATAAATTTTTATTGGTATGTAGAATTCAATTATACAAGGATGGAGAGAGTATATGTAAAAGATAAAGGGAGCATTTTTACTAAGGACCAAGAATATGATTTAATTACTAGAGGGTCATAAAAAATATAAAACTTCACTTCATTTCAAGAGGGTTGAAGTGAAAATAATTTCAACATGAAAAGACAAAAATGCCGATAACTTGTTAATTTTGTTTAAATTGCGAAATCATTAATTGTTAATTTTTTTATTTTTCTTGTTAATTTATCAATACGATTTGTAAATTATATCAGTTCGTCAGATAACTAGCAACATCAATTATTAATTTGCTAACTTTACTTATTAATTCACTAACATCAATTGTAAATTACATGACCTGGTAGTAATTTATAACTGATGTTAGTAAATTAACAAGTAAAGTTAATAATTTAATAACTGATATAGCTGCTTGTGATTGAACAAATGATATTAAATTTATATAATTATTGACAGGTTAATTCATACAATTTACCATTCACTCATATTAAAAATTAATAAGTGAAGTAAAAAAAATAATAACCAATGATTCTGCATTTTAAACAAAATTAATAATTAAAGAATATTTTAATTTTTTTATTGTTAAAATTATTTTCCCTTCAATCATTCTAACTTGAATTAGAGTTTCAGATATTTTTTTAAATTCACTAATAATTATGCCTCACCCTTAGCTAAAATTTTTTTTAAGATAAAGTTAATTTTGAGTTTTGACCTAATAAAAAAAAATTGCTAGCCTCCGCAGAATATAGGCAGCTTAGGTTTTGTCGTGCATATGATGCTCCCCCATGCTAGTGATGACCGGTGTAATCTGTGCAGTGTGATTTTCGAGGTTCGAACGCATATAGAAGCGAACAAAACGGCATGCAAAACCCGCCATGAATTGGGTTCATGGTTCCAAAGCAGAATCAGCTATTGAACAAAACAGTAGACTGCTTTTCCTTTACGGTGCCTATGTAATTCAAATCCCAAAGACGGAAAATGACCTCTTCTTGAAAAGTTAAATGGGTTCGGTTCATGAGCGTGAGCTCTAGCTCCATACAGTGTCACGCAGAGCCATGATAAAGCCATCTTCAATTCAAACACCGACACGTGTCCATAGCATGACTTTCCAAAGCTCCACGTATACTTGACCCTCTTCGCAACGATGAATGGATGGTGGGGTGAACAAGACCGGATCGAGGCTGGAAGACTGACACAGTAACCGGTTAGAATATGAGGTTCCCACACGAATGGATGCAATGAACTCCCTCCGTTGGTATATATAAAATATTTTTAACTAAATTTTATATATTAATAAAAATTTATTATTTAATTAAACTTACATAAAAACACAATAATTTTTTGATTTTACTCTTAATAATATCATAATTAATATCATGATGTTAGTATGAAAAACATATAATTAATAATTTATTTTATTTTTTTAAGATTGATAAAATTATTTAATTATTTAAAACTATCATTATTACTTTTTATATTTAGAGACAAAATAAATTTTTAAAAAATATTTTTATATATAGAGTTGGAGAGAGTAGGATCTGTATAAGAACTCACGTGAAATTTTGTTCTTGGACAAATTGTAAATACTTATCTATTAATGTTTGTTTAGCCTAGGTATATGATCTAGATCTAATCAACTCTTGAACCCAGCGGCTGAGCCATATTACGGTGAGGATAAGTACATGCACTTTCTCACTTTAAGAAAAATTATAAATAAAGTATATAAATTTTTGTAACTTTATTCCCTCACTTTTAATATTTATAAAGATCATATGAGAAGGTTAATACTAAGCCAGGATCTCACCACAACTGAAATTTCGAAACCCAATAAATACGTATTTTCTTATATTTCAACACTGCAGATCTTTAAAAACATCTTAATTTGGTATTAACCATTTTAAGAGCTCTTTAGTTTTCATTATTGCTCAATATTTTTAAGAAAAATTAATTATTTAATCTCTGTATTTTTAACTTAGTTATAATTTAATCTCTAAATTTTGAATCAAAACTCAATCCCTGAATTTTGCCTCTTATAATTCAATCCTTATAGTTTCAATCATATAAATATTAATTTTTATATTTTAAAAAATAAAATTATAAAATTATTTTAAAATTTACTAATAATATTTCATTTACGAAACCCTTTTAATCTTTATAAAATTTTTAAAATAATTTCAAAATTTTTAATATTTTAATATTTATAAATATTAAAAGGGTTTAGTAAATAAAAGATTATTACTAAATTTTAAAATAATTTTATAATTTTATTTTTTAAGATATATGAATCAATATTTAAGTGATTGGAACTATAGGAACTAAATTGAAAAAGTTAAAGTTTAGGGATTAAGTTACAATTGAGTCAAAATTTTAAGGATTAAATTATAATTAGTTAAAGTTTAAAAACTAAGTTACAACTGAGTCAAAATTATAATGATCAAATGATTAATTTTTTTTATTTTTAATTGACGTTTTATAAGGTCTGTTAGGTTTGAAAGGAAAGGAGGGGAGGCATTTTAATGAAGGAGAAGGAAGGGGTTTTAATGAAAGGGAGGATTATACCTTATTTGGTTCAACAAGGGAGGGGAGGAAAAATAAATATATATAGACAACTTTACCCTTATATAAATAAAAATTGTTTTTTCCTAACAAAATATAGTTATGAATATTTTAATATATAATTATATGTATATACTACTCCCTCTGTTTAAAAATATTAGGTATTCTTTGAGGAATTGAATGTTAAAAAATATAAGGTATTTTAAGTTTTTTGATGTGTAATCATTATCTTTTTTTCAAAAGTGTCCTTATTAATAATGACTTTATATTTATTATAAGGTGTTTAATAGGGGTAAATATGAAAAGATAGGATTAGTTTGAAAGTAGGTAACCACTTTATTGGGGGTGAGATTCGGTTAAAAATGCTTTATTTTTTTAACGAAGGGAGTATATAATTATCAATAGTCATATATATATATATATATATATATCTAATAATATGTTTGATAATAATTTATTCAAAGTTTATAAATTAAAGGTATGAGCAAGCAGTAAGTTTATTATTATAAAATAGAAAAATAACAAAACATGAGAAAAAATAGCATATTAGCAAAAATAAAATAACAAGAAGGGAACAAAAATGACAGCACAAGTTAGGAGGAGGAAGCACAACTTGAATAGAGAGGCATATGGCATTAAAGAGAGAGGAATATTTTTAAATTATTATATTGTAATTGGGATATATTAATCTAATATAATAAAATTATACCCCTCCCCTCCTCATCCCCCATTTTGGAGGAGAGGGTTTGTAGGGGAGGGGAGGTTTTAAAAAAATTTCCCTCTCCTCCCCTACATTTTTACATACTAAGTTTTATCTCCCTTAGGGTTGCCAAATCAATAGGAGCTAGGCTTCTCCTCCCTCCAAACCAAACATATCCTAAATATCATTACCTTACTTATTTAAAAATAAATCTTGAAGTGTCATGTTGTAGCATTGTAGTATGATTTGTTTTAATTTTTTTATCCATTACTGCCGCATACTAATGTTTGTATTTAACATGATTTATGTTTATAAAACCACATCTTCAAGTTGGAGGGTGAAAAATCCATTACTACTAAACACCATGTAAAAAACTTTACCATGGTAGTTCAAGAATAAAACCAACAATAAAATTTAGCATGCACTAGTATAAACAGACAAATCTACACTAGTTCAACAACTGGTTTAGATATGTTGACAATATTTACACTGATTCTTCAATCAGTGTAGTTATTAGACA